TGTTACCCACAGTTACAAAAATAAAAACCTAAAAAAAAAATATTTTGGCTTGGATCCGGTGCACCCTAGTCTTTATAAAGTAACATCAGTACTCTTTAGCACCTTAGAGAGGTCCTTGACAGCACATTTTCCCTATGCAACATGTCTTTTCCTTTCTTAATTGCTTTTACCATGGATGTTGATTGTGGATCCAAGTAAAATGAAATCATTTATAACTTCTGAACTCATTTACAATCTTTTCTCCATGTACCATAATGTTGCCTATTGTCCAGTAGCAAGGATTTTTATCTTCTTAATGTTGGGAAGAAATCACTATTGAGGAGAAATGATGTTACCATGAGGACTAAGATGAGCCTCATTCAGACCATAGTCTTTTCAGTTACTTGCTGTGTATCCAAAGCTGGCCAGAGAATAACGATGTTAAAAGAAAGATTGATGTCTTTGAGCGGTGGTTTTGGAGAAGAGTGCTGAGTATCCTATGAACTCCCAAAAGAACAAGCAGATGTGTCTTGGAGAAGGTGAACCCAGATTGATTGCTCCTTGGAAGCAAAGATGGCAAAGCTTGGTCTCACATACTCTGAGCAGATTGCCGGGAGAGTTTCTTGGAGAAGGACATCATGCTTGGAAAGGTAGAGGGATGGCGAAGGAGAGGAAGATGCTGAACCGGGTGGACTAACACAGTGACTGCAGCAATGGGGCTTGAATATGTCAGAGATTGTTTCAGAATAGGACAGAGTTCATATCTGTTGTTCATAGGGTCACTATGAGTTGTACTCAACTTGGTGGCACCTACCAACAGCGATCCACATTGAAGACTGTACGTAGTCTGTGATCGTTTGCAGCAAGTGTTTCAAGTACTCTTCAGTTTTTGCTTTCAAGATTGTATCATCTGCATAATTCAGATTGTTGATGATTTTTCTCTAATCTTAATGCCACATTCTTCTTCATACAGTCCAGACCAAAAAGCTGTTGTCCAAACACAGCAAGGAAACACTGCATGGTTTAAAATCAGGAGAGATGTGCAAGTCTCAATAATTTTAACTATCTGCACTAATTCCTTAGTCAGGTGTTTACAAATATTCTTGAGTTCTCATAGAAGTTTGTCCTCTTTTTCTCCTGTAACAGCAGTTCCTCCATTGGCCACTAGCTCTGTGTCTCCATCCCTTGCATTGCTGGCTAACAACTTGTCCATGGCTACAAGTGACCTGCCACCTGGTGCTTCCCCCAGGAAAAAGCCTCGAAAGCAGCAGCATGTGATTTCCACAGAGGAGGGTGACATGATGGAAGCAAACAGCACGGATGATGAGAAAACACCTTCCAAGAGTCTCGTGGTGAAGGCTGAGAAACGCAAGTCTCCTCCCAAAGAATATATCGGTAATGGTTGCTCAGGCAGAATATTATTACCCTGTGTGACTTTCTGACTTCAGTGAGGAGAGTCCATCTCTGAGGTCATTTGCATAGTCAGATTACACAGGCCAGATTTAGCAATCACATAATGGTATTTTGCCTGGAAGAAGTTTGAAAATTTAAACTGCATTCTTTAACATTTTTTTCCCTTCCCTTTTGAATAGATGAGGAAGGTGTGAGGTATGTCCCAGTGCGTCCAAGACCTCCTATTACTTTGCTGCGTCACTATCGGAATCCCTGGAAAGCTGCTTACCACCATTTTCAGCGATACAGTGATGTCCGGGTCAAAGGTTAGTTTCCCTAGAAACATCCAGTATTAATACATGGAATTTCTATACTATCTAGCTATATTGGAGAAAAGAAAAACAGAATGCAAAGGTTTTACTATAAATTAATCACTTGAACTTTCATATTCAATTTAAGTGAAATAGCTACTTGAGTATAAAATTATCCTTTTTCATGCAACATTATTAATAAAAATCGATGATCCTCCTCTGAAAATACTCTACCGCTGTTTCTTCTTTAAGTTTAACCATTTTTCTCAAATATAATAAATGCACAGAGAATTGTGAGTTTTTACATAATTGGTCACAATTTCTCTTCTTCATAGTCATTTCAACTTGGATACATCGCTGAGGATTTCCTTAAAATTTCATGTTGGTCAGATTTGAATGAGTTTGACTGATACCTGTATAGGGATTTGACTGATGTTTGTATATAGGGATGAAGGTGCTGGTAGTTCAGACTCTTGAGTGGAAATTTGTAAGTAACTATACTTCCTTCTTCTACTTCCTCAAATACTCTCAGAAGTTTGAAGATGGATTATAATTTCCAGAGTTCAGAAGATTGGCGTTTAATAGAAGCAGAAAGTGAACTACTAAACATCTCTGTAAACCATCAAGAATTCTGTATATCTAGCAAGAAAACACTTTAGATTTGATTGGTAACATTTTAAATTATACAGTATCATTGGGAAAGTCTCCTGTCAGTAACCTCTTCACAGTCCTGTAGAGCAATGATGTCAGTTTCAAGACTAAGGTGCACCTGATTCAAGCCACAGTCTTTCCAGTCACCTGCTATGCATCTGAGAGCTGGACAATGAATAAGGATGTCAGTGTCAGAATCTGCATTTGAACTGTGGTGTTGGAGAAGAGTGCTGAGTATCCCATGGACTGCTAAAAGAACCAAGAGATATGTCTTGGAGAAAGTGCACCCAGAGTTCCTTGAATGCAAAGTTGGTGAAGCTTCCTCTCACATACTTTGCACATGTTGTCAGGAGAAAATACTCCTTCAAATGGGACATCATGCTTGGAAAGGTGGAGGGTCAGGAAAAGAGAGAAAAACCCTCAAAGAAATGTATTGATACAGTGTCTGTAGTAGTGGGCTTAAATGAATCAAGAATAAGGAAGGTTCAGGATACGATAAGGTTCAGATCTGTTGTTGATAGTGTTGCTATGAGTCCTACTCAACTCACTGGAACATAAGAACAATAATGGTGATATATTAAGGAGTTTAATGGTCTAGTGAAAAGCTGCAGAAGCAGGTGGGTCAATCCACCAGTTTCTCCTGGGGAGAAAGATGGGCATTCTCCTCCAGTGCAATTCACTGCTTCTGAAAACCTGATGGAGGATCAGCTGTGAACTGGTTCCATCTCAGTGGCTCTTAACAACAAAGGTATATTAATGGCACTGACTATGGAAGAATGAAGAATAATTGATGCCTTTGAATTGTGGTGTAAAAAATATTGAATATATCATTAGCTATCAAAAGAATAAACTTATACTTTGAAATAAATGCAACCTGGGTTCTCCTAAGAGGCAAGACTGTGAGACTTTGCCTCACAGGATTGGGCATAATATCATAATGGGGTACTCCCTAGAGAATGAAGTCATACTGAGAAAAGTAGCAGGTTGATAAAGGACAGCAAGACCCTCCAAGATAATGGATTGACACATTGACTAGTTTTGGCCTTGAGCATGGTAGACGTTGTGAGGATGGCACAGGGTCATCAAAATTAATAAAAAAAAAAGATGATGGACAGCATGCACAAAGTTAATCTCTTAAAACCAGTGGGTCACTACTGAATCATTTAAAGAAGCAATAGAAGAAAGAAGCCCAGACAGAATACACTGAAGGCGTTGACAGAAAATAAACCTTCTGAAGTTAACACATGCAGCCCTCGATGTGCTCATTAGTCTGTGCTAAGAAATTTAGAGGTCAGCTCTCTGCTCAATAAAAAACCTGTATTTATGCCCATCCCAAAAAAGGAGGATTCCGCAGAATGCAGAAGTTATGGAACAGCATAGTTCATATCACACACAAGCAAAATATTGCTAAAGATTATTCAAAAACAGGTGGAATAGTCCATCAGCAGACATTCAAGTTGGATTCAGAAGAGGCATTGGAAGAAAGGATGTTATTGCTGATGTCAAATGGATCTTGGCTGAAAACAGACAATACTAGAAAGATAGTATTTCTCTTTGTGTGAGTGAAAGTTTACATACAAATCATATTTATTATTCATAAAATATTTTTATAACATTCATTGTCATGGTTTAGTGTAATTGATAAATTAGAATGTCTCATCAACCCTTTATAGTGTGATTTCTTTTCTTTTACCCAACTTAATCTGTTTATTAATTTTTGGTTCCCTCTCCCAAGCGTCGAGGACTCTCCTTCATAGGGTCACTATGAGTCGCCTGCGACTCGACGGCACTTAACAACAACAACTCCCTCTCGTCACATCCCTCTTAAATCTCCAAGATTTCTTCTGTGTGGAGCCCTTTCCTTAGCTTTTTATAATGCTAATCTTGTACTGTAATTGACGTTTTGTGATTGACTTATGGTACCCAGCATAATTTATTCTAGATTCATCCAAGCTGTACAGTATTTCACAAATTCTTGATATTTTGTTGTTGTTACGTGCTACTGAATCAGATAAGATTCATAATGACACTGAACAGTGGGTCTGAAACCTACCCTATCCTTCACCATCTCCACCATTGTTAGAACCACTATGTCAATCTGTCTTATTAAGGGTTTTCTTTTTTTTTGTGATGGTAGATAGTAATAATAGATTAGAAAGTTACATCCTCAAAGGGAGATAAGAAGAAGGAGATAAGGAGAAAAGGCCAGGCTTTCTTTTCTTTCTTTTTTTAAATTTTTATTATGTGTTTATGTGTGTGCCATCAAATCAGATCTGACTAGTACAGGAGGAGATTGTCCCTCCTTCTCCAGCAGAGCATCTGGTGGATTTGAACTGCGTTTTTGTTTGTTTGTTTGTTTTCAAGAAAATTATTTTCTATTTAATCTTTCATACATATGCTCTAAAATACTAATGTCAGTAACCAAAATGTGGGAGCTGAGCGCTGAGACCCGTAGCTAAAGCCAAGAGACTGAAAATATGCAGACCACCGGGGCATTACTCATTACTCCAGCTATGATTCGTTGCTGTACCAAAGGTCTAATTAGGCCTGCGTCTGCTTCATTCCTGAGTAGGCCAGAAATCCCATCTAACCAGCCTACCTACAGCAGCAGCAGCAGTTCCCTGCTCCAGGTGGCCAGAAGGGAGTTCCAGACAAGTGTTGTCTCCTGGGACATTGACACAGTGGCCAAGTTTATTGGTGCTGGGGCTGCCACAGTTGGTGTGGCTGGCTCAGGGACTGGCATCGGGACAGGGTTTGGCAGCTTGATCATTGGCTATGCCAGGAACCCGTCTCTCAAGCAGCAGCTCTTCTTCTATGCCATTCTGGGCTTTGCCCTGTCTGAGACCATGGGACTCTTCTGTTTGATGGTCGCCTTCCTCATCCTCTTCGCCGTGTGAAGCTCCGTGGGGGTCAACTACTTGTCCTTGCTGCTTCAACTCCAGGCCATGTCCCATGCTGGAGTGTGCTGAGCTTTACCATTAAACAACGTTTCCCTAAAAAAAAAACCAAAATGTTAGTTGTGCTTTTCCTACTTCCTTCTTGTCATCCTCCTTGTCATCAGAAACTCTGAAGATTGCACTGGAATGCAGAGAAGCCAAAGCACAAGGAAGAATTCAAGATACTAAAGAGCTGAACGGAAGATTCACAAGGGCAGCACAGGATGACAAAGCAAAATATTACAATGAAATATCCAAGGAGCTGGAGTCGGAAAATCAAAAGGGCCGAACTCGCTCAGCATTTCTAAAGCTCCAGGAACTGAAGAACAAATTCAAACCTCGAGTTGCTATAATCAAGGATGCTTTGGGCAGAATAGTAAATGATCCAGGAAGTATTAAAAGAAGATGCAAAGAATATACTGAGTCACTGTATCAAAAGGAACTGGCAGACACAGAAGAATTTCATGAAATAACATATGAGCAAGAGCCTATGGTGATGAAGGAAGAAGTTCATGCTGCTTTGAAGGAAATAGCAAAAAGTAAGGCCCCAGGAATAGATAGTATACCAATTGACGTATTTCCGCTAACAGCTGCTGCCCTGGATGTGCTCACCAAGTTGTGCCAAGAAATCTTGAAAACAACTACTTGGCCAACTGACTGGAAGAGATCTATATTTGTTCCCATTCCAAAGAAGGGTGACCCAACAAAGTGTGGAAACTATAGAACATGCCCTAAGAATATGCAACAGAGTTTCACCTTCTTTGTCTCCAAAGAGCATTCTAGTGACTTGAAACTCTTGCTGCAGAAAAATCAAAGACTACAGCCTTCATTATGGTTTATATCTCAGTAACAAAAACAAACAGGTCTCACCACAAGACCAGTAAGCAACATTATGGTTAAATGTATAAAAGATTGAAATTGTCAATGATTTCATTTAACTTGGATGCTCAATCAAAACACATGTTGCATTTGGAAAATCTACTGTCCATACAAAATCAGAAGAGAATAAAATTGATGAGTTGGACCTTCTGAACCTTTCCATGAGCATCAAAGACTTGTTCTAATACAGTTATAAGAAACTGGGAAAAAAACATTTCACAACACCATCTCAGAGAAGTGTCTCATAACAAAGGTTTACATAGTACTTCTGTGCCTCCACAAAAAAAAAAGACTGATAATTAAAAAATGAGGAAAAGACCTTCACAGAAAAATGCTCTAAATCACTGTTAATAATAAAGAGCAAAAGAAACCACAATGAGATACCATCTCATTCCTGTTAACAGTGGCAAAGTTTAATAGGACAGCAAGCAATAAATGTTGGAGAGGATATGGAGAGATTAGAATTCTTAAATTCTGTTTCTGGGATTTTAAAAAGGTGCAAAATCAAAAAAAGGTGGACCCTTTGGAAGACAACTTGGCATTTCTTCA